AGGCCAGGATGGCCAAACTTTGTATCTCATACTTCGGACATATTGTCAGGAGGGACCAGTCGCTGGAGAAGGATATCATGCTTGGTAAGATGGAGGGTCAGAGAAAGAGGAAGACCCCCAAGAGATGGATTGGCCAGGTGGCAGCATTGATGGACTCAAGTGTGGCAACAATAGTGAGGTTGGCCCTCGGTCGGACATTGTTTCATTCTGCTGTGCATGGGGTCACTATGAGTCGGTGCTGACTGGATGGGACCTAACAACAACAACAACAATTCTTCCAAAATAGATTGCTAAGTTTTTCTTCTGAGGCACCGCTGGGCAGATTTGAACATCTAACCTTTCTCAGCAGCCAAGCGCCTTACCGGTTGCTCCGCCTGGGGACTTCACATAATCCCTTGAATATATGCCGGCGTGCTCTTTACCCATTATTGGTTATCAAGTTAAGCACTGACTTGGCTTTTTAGAAGACGGAGTTAAATCATATGTATCAAATTCTCAAGAAAACTGTTCAATGGGAGTCTGGTCCATCGCTCTTTGAGTGCCTGGGATGAAACTCTTTCACATGTGAAACCATGGCAGCTGATTTGGTGTCCATCCCAGCATGTTTGCTCAGGTCTCTAGGTATCCTGTCTCTCCCCGATTCTTCTGGACAAAAGTCTTGACCAGCAGCTGCCCCTCCAGCATCTGGAGCTTGACTTTACCCTCTTTGAAGACCATAAATTGCTCCCCTGTTGTCCACCCATACCTTAGATATGGGAAAAGGGATTTGTGTCACTTTACAATGGAAGTGAGAGACTACACACAAAAGAATAAAACAATTGCTTCATTTCTTTTCAAAGCTAGGAGAAGTTCCAGGTACTTAACTAATTCAGAGAAACCTGCTCCACCACATAGTACAGATACAGAGATAATAGTAGCAGGCTATCTGCCCATCACATGACACAACAGCTGATTTAATGAGATCTGGTAGTCCTCATGACTGACAATATGAGCCAACAAGTAATCAGTTAAAGACCATGGCATTTTCTCATTAGAAATTAGGTCTTTGTGGAAGTTGTCCTAGGAAATAACGTGGAATTGCTCTACAAATGCTTGCTATTATTATTTTAATTACAAAATGCTACATGTTCTCTAAACAAAGCTTGGTGGTGGTAGTGTGTGGTGAAGTCAGTTCTGACTCATAGCAACCCTGCATAGGAGTTCCAAGGCTGTAAGTCTTGAGTAGTGTTGACAATCTTGAGTCTAACATTTTTCCAGGACATCAAGGAAGATGCACAGGAAGAAAAATATATTCAGGAAAAAGAGGACTGATGGGCATTACTGATGACTTTGTGGGCATTAGTGGGTCGGTGGTATCATTCTCACCTTCCATGTGGGAGACCTGGGTTCAGTTCCTGGCCACTGTATCTGAGGAGCAACTACCTGACTTGAGGAGTGTTGCTATGATGGTGAACAGCTGGCTCTCAGGGGAACTTCTAGAGTATGACAGACTAGGAAGAAACGAATATCTGGTTCTGAAAAATCAGTTAATGAAAATCCTAGGAACCAGAGCGCTCTAATCCTCCAGTGATCAGGGGACTGACTGAAATAGACAAGAGTTTTATCTGGGATCCCTATGAGTTGAGGTCCAATTTGATGATCACCAACTAAAGACTTAGAGCTGTGAATTGACTTCAGGTTCAACACTGCTTTTTGCACAATGAGCTGCAGCCCAGATGCACTGAGGATGGTGCCGAGAGACTAAAAGATGACTGCAGCAGGTGCCAAAAAGGTCTGCCAACTTTCAGCTTGTGCAACAAGAGGTGGCAGCCCCACATCGCCACCACCTGGCTAGCTATGTCTTCTTATTGGAAATTTTGGTCCCAATAGACCAGAGGCCAAGTGGTGAGACAGGTTCTGGAAGAATCCCTTGTACTTCTCACCACTTTGCTGTGTGGATTTAATTATGAGTTCTTGCTAAGATCAGGGAGCAAGAAAGCACCAATTGTTTCTGTCTTAATTAAGTAGAATTAAGAAAAGAAAGAGAAAGAGCCAGGTCATTAATTCAGAATGTCTCATTGAAACCCAAAGTTCCTTTTTTGGTAAGGCCAGCAGGCAAGAAAGAACAGAAAGATTTGGCAACTGCTTTCCTCATTTGCCTCTTCAGCTCCAGGGAGAATTCATCCAAACGAGCACTGGGGTTCAACGCTGTTGCTAGCTGCTGCGGGCGTAATGGAACAGAGGACTGCCCAGTCTAAGTCTGGACATTGAGTTCAGCATGTTAGCAATCCTCAAGCCACCATGGGCGGAGAGAAGGTGGCTGTGTGAGCAACATGGACCAACACAAACAAACAGAATTCTACCTCTGAATCACCAGTGCTTCTCGAGCTTCAGGATAAGAAAGAATGTGGTTTCTTCATGCTATTTGCTTCTATTTTCATCATTTATTAATTCAGTAGCCACTTCTCTCATTTTTCATCCAGAACTGGTTTCCTCTTTAGTACATAGATGGAACTGATAGGCAAGATTGCAATTTTTTTTCCTTTTTAAATTGAGGTAACTTTGTTATTTCAATATTTCTTCACATGTACAATTCATTGA